TTTATGTGGCCACTTGTGATGCAGTGGAGCTCACTGCCACACTAGTGAGCCATACGGCCGGGCCTTTGGCGTGGCGTTGGAGTGCCAAACGGTCCTAGTTGGGCTGGGCCCACCTACCCAATGCGATGCCACGTGGAGCCTCCATTCTACGATCTGTAACAGTTTCAAAATTGGAGGAAAATCATTTCAGAGAATTAAATCAAAGATTTTATTTATTCAGTCCTCATCTTTTAGGCATAGAATGTGACTGTATAGTTGTTTCCTTTCGTGTATATTAGTTCCTCACTAGTATAGTCTACATACTCTTTATATATGTTTGTATACCAGTTATTCATCACTGAATGAGAACTATAGATTTTCTAATTTCTGCTTTTATAAAGAATAGAATTGTTATAACATGATGCGTAAAATACAACGGTAATGACTGTTTATAGGTCTACATAGAGTTACTAAAGGAAAAATAAAACAAAAATTATACAGTCTCGTAACTATAGAGTTAACCATGAAAGAGCACAAGTCATAGAGACTGTTTAAATCTTAAGATTGCAAGATTTTTCAATGCAAAACCGCTTTCTTCAGTTCACTGTGCTCATTGTCTAGGCGAAGACCCTTCTGGTAATGCCTGAGGAAGAAAATGTGGAATGAAGTAGCCTGAATCAAAGATGCTCTTAGGTGAATCCAAGGCGGCTTGAGCTTGAAATAGTTGAGAAAGTTCCTTCTCTGCTACTTTTTATCTCCAGAAACTTTTCGTAGCTTTTTCTGATTTCTCGTATCTACATTACACATTCCTTCATTAAATCTTAGCTTCCTGTCCTCGGAACAATGAAAACTTTAAGAATAAGATTTGTTCGAAAGGATGTTCCAACATTATTAACACAAATTAGTTGCCAATTAAGGTACTAAACATGTTTCTCATGAACTAATTGGAGGCCCCATTTTGTTGAACTCATCTGCATACCATCCAATAACATGATGCACAAACTAGTTAAACCCTTTACCTTATCTAATCCAATCATTGACATTGAAATCACTGCCTAATGATTTCTCGTACAATAGATAATCATGATCATCATAATGTTCTGTCCACAAACATGGAAACTTGAAGAAAAAAGATCTGTTCAAAACTCATTAGGCTATCCCAGCATCAATATTGGCCAAGTTCTTCTTCCTCCGACTTTAAGCAAACCAGTAGCTGCCTTAACACTGTCTAAGTTTTCTTGTCACGTTAAAGTGCACCTTTCACCTTACTCACCATTCATTGCATATCTCAAGTTTGCGAGTGAGAGAGGGGCAGAGAGAGATTTTTTCTTTTTATTTTTATTTTTTGAGGAAAAAATAGAACCCCACTCAATATAAATCAGGCCCTCTCCTTTGAGAGGTGCACTACAAAGAAAGGAAAACCTACAAAGAAAGGAAAAAAAAAACCCCTGCAAAATGAAACAGATTTTCTCAACATTTCCTCTTGTGTTCTTCTTGTTCTTCTTTCAATGCACTCCAGCTCTTTCGCAGAGTCCGTCGCCGGCTCCTACACCTCCAGCGCCTGTTCCTGTACCTCCAGTGCTGGCTCCTGTACCTCCGGTGCTGGCTCCTGTACCTCCGATGCTGGCTCCTGTGTCTCCATCGCCGTCTCCTGCAGGTCCAGCTCCCATTGACATCAGTTCTATTCTTCAGAAGGCCAAGAAATATACGACATTAATTCGACTCCTAAAAATCACCCAAGTGGGTAATCAACTCAATACACAGCTTAACAAGTCAAACCAAGGTATCACAATACTAGCTCCAACTGATGGTGCATTCGCTAACCTCAAACCAGGCATGTTAAACTCTCTCACCGATCAACAGAAAACCGAGCTGCTCCAATTCCATGTCCTACCTTCGTTTTTCTCTATCTCCCAGTTCCAAACCGCAAGCAATCCACTAAGAACGCAAATTGGTAATGATGAAAGATTTCCACTCAATATCACTGCAACTGGGAATCAGGTGAACATAACAACGGATATGGTTAATGCAACAGTGGCCAATACAGTGTACACTGATAACCTGCTAGCCGTGTATCAGGTTGATAAAGTACTCCTTCCGCATGGTCTTTTTGCACCTCCANTCACTGCAACTGGGAATCAGGTGAACATAACAACCGATATGGTTAAGGCCACAGTGGCAAGTGCAGTATATGCCGACAACCAGTTAGCCATATATGAGGTTGATAAAGTACTCCTTCCGCATGGTCTGTTTGTACCTCCACCGCCAGCTCCTGCACCTGTAAAACCCAAAAAACACCCGGCTTCAGATTCTTCCCTCTCTGATGATACTACTCCTGTCGATACTACTACTTCTGATGGAATTTATCTGTCCCAACATGCATTGAATGCAGTGTCCAGTATCGTCCTTGTTTTGGCAGCATTTTGTTTGAGTGTGTGAACAGTGTGTGCTAATGGAGTCCTTTGTACCGTGCTTTTATTATCTTCACAGAATTATATTTGTGTAATGTAATAAGCTGTCATTATGCAACAATTATTTCAGTTTTTTTTAAGTATATCAAAATTCCTGCCTAACAAAAACTATTAACCCCAAAAGTGCATACGAGAATCACTGACATTCTTTCACAAATAACAGTTTTCACTCTTCTGCCAGTTTATTTTGAAATGAATTCTATTTCTATAACTTGCGATAGTTTGATGGACTCTTCAAACTAGCAAATAGAGCAATAGCATTCACTAGAAACAGAATCACAGGCCAAGAACTTCACGCTTTACTGCCTTCCAAACAAATAAGTTTGGTTTGGGTTACAAGTGGTATCTAAATCTTAGGTACATTACCTCCCCCTTGTGACTCTTCCAGAGCCCCGTCGTGTGAGATCTCTAGAGGAGAAGATCAAGTTGGCCTTGCCAACAACTGAATAAGGTGAAAATGTAGAAGATTTCCGAAAAAAAAAATAAGGGGACAATGCAAGTTGAATTCAAAATTAG